CCGCCCTCACTCCTTGGCCTGAAAAAAAACCGTATAACCTTAAAGGCGAGGAAGGGAAGGATTAAATAATAAAAAAAGAAGATGTATGGTAGACAGCGGACGAACAATTTTTTTATTCAATTTTCGGGTTCATGTAATGGTCCTCAAACTTTGAGGAGAATTAACTATTTGAATATTTGGTATAATAGTTCATTATTGAAATAATAAGCCAAAAAATAATAATATAATTGTAAATTAGAATGTTTTAAACTTCAGCAATTTCATTCTGTTAATGACGACGAACTGATTAACATTTAAACATAACGACACATTTTAAAATATTTTCCAATTGCTCAAGGATCGCTGAAGATCCGTATGAATATATGAGGGTTCAATGAAATGTTGGACATTTCTGACAAAAGCTGTATTATTGGTGCCTCTGATTCATTTACCTACGAGTGTTACGAGTGAGTTCATTACCTTACTTGCCTTTCGGTTACATGAAACTTCGGCAAAATTAACATAATTACGCTGGTTATTCGTATGTTAATGTTGCCAATAAACATTTTCAAGGCGTAATACAGAAAAAGCTTCTCGCTCTAGTTCCACTCGCAATGTTATGAATTTTGTTTCTCGTTTTAGGCGATCTAACTTTTTTTAATTTATTTTTTTTGTTTTAATTAATAATGTCTATTTTTATATTATTTAATGGGGAATAAATGTTTCCATTGACGCTAAATGGAATTCTCATAAAAATAAATGGAAAATTTTATAATTTATTTTCAGCTTGACAAACCATAAATATTCAGAATGGTAATATTTCATATTAATCTCATATTTTTATGTTTATAATTAATAAATTACGTTGAAATATATTAACATTAAAAAAAAATCTATCCATATTAAAGTTGTGAGCTGTGAGACACTAAATTTTGTTTTTTAATTATAAAAAGATTTTGTGTGATTCTTTTATACTATATATTCTTTACTTACATGTTTATTTTTTTTTACATAATTGCTATATAATTATACGAATAAACACATTACTTGGATATTGGAGCCATAATATCCAATGCCCTTGATTGTGGCGGATCGTATTATTATAATTATAATTAAAGTTTTATTGTAAAAAAAATATATATATAAAAAGTGGTAATTTGGAGTACATCACAGTAGGAAAATTTCGGCTAAGGTGCTAGATACAACCTTTGCGTACTAATTCAGAACAAGTCGTGGTGAGCATGAACCGGAAAAAAAAACAAGGCGCATGACCTATGTTAACCATTATTATACAATATTTGTGAAATGTTTCAAAAGTAAAATACGACAGATACAAGACATGAGGACGTACAACTTTTTTTCAATGTTGAGAAATATGATTTATTAAGACACACATCCATGAAAATGAGTATTAAAGATTCTTTCATTTTCATTCTTTCATTTTTTTTTTAAATTTATTTGGGTAATATAATACTCTATCAAATAGACAATAATTATAATGAAGTAAGACAACATTCACACTAATATGCAAAAGCTATAAAATAAACAGAAACAAATTAAATAATAATAAAAAGTATATACAATACATAAAAATAAAATAACTCACAGATAGATAAATAATAATAATAAGGCTTAGCGAACCCGAAGGTTCGATGCCGACACCACCAATCGCTTGTTACACACCTCCCTCCACCGTTCGCCGTCCAAACCCAGTCCCTTCAGATCGGCTTTAATGCAATCTTCCCATCTTCGCTTCGGTCTACCCCTCGGACGCTTACCATTCGGCACAGCAAATATTAACCTTTTAGGAATTCTCTCGTTACTAAGCCCAACAACTTTACAAGCCCATTTGATTCGCCGCGATGAAATTACATCAATTATATTACCCGGATACATCTCACGCAATTCGGCGTTGTGTAACCGTCTGAACTCTCCGGTTAACTCATCCTTTTTCGGTCCGAATATTCTACGCAATACTTTATTTTCAAAAACCTTAAGACGCTGCTCATCCCTTAATGTAAGCGGCCAAGTTTCGCATCCATAAAGAACTGTAGGCAAGATAATTGTTTTATAGATTCTAATTTTTAAGTTTCGGGACAAGAGGCGCGAACTAAGTAGTTTTGTCACAGAAAAATAACAAGCATTCCCCGCCTTCAGTCTAACCTTAATCTCTTCTTCAATTTCGTTTTTTCTAGTTATCGTAGAACCTAGATACCTAAATTTATCTACCTGTTCAAACATATTACCATCTATATCGATATCACCAGTAGTATTGCCATTTTTGCAGCTAACCATATATTTTGTTTTATCCACGTTTATTTCGAGTCCTAGTTCTTTCCCGGCTTTCATTAACGTTGTCGTATTAAGTTTTATAGTTTCAACGTCTTCGCTTAACAGTACCAGATCATCAGCATAGCCCAGCACGGATGTTGTCCCTCCCAGATCCAACCCTTTCTCGGTTCGCATTACCTCCCTAATGGCATGTTCTAATGCCAAATTGAACAGGACAGGCGAAAGAGAATCCCCCTGTTTTAAGCCCGAACGAACCTCAAATTTTTCGGACAAATTATTACCGATTCTAACTTTATTGAGTGTCTCCGTCAAGCACATCCTGACTAGATTTACTAGTTTTTTTGGAATCCCCTGCTCGATTAGAATATTATACAATTTCTGGCGGTCAATAGAATCGTAAGCCTTTTTAAAATCTATATACAGCTGGTGAACAATACCGTTATACTCCAATTTTTTCTCTAATATTTGCCGTAAAGAAAATATTTGATCAATAGTCGAACGATTCCGTCTAAATCCGCATTGGTAGTCTCCGATAATTTCCTCGGCGTATTCCGTGATCCGAGTGGTTAAGATTAAAGTGAATATTTTATAACACACCGGAAGGAGTGAAATTCCTCGATAGTTATTACAATCCGTCCTCGGACCCTTTTTGTGAATCGGAATAAGAATAGATTCTTTCCATTCTTCAGGTAATTTCTCGTTCACCCAGATCTTTTTAACCAACCGATGTATTTTAGAAACTCCAGCTTCTCCGCATGCCTTAATTAGTTCAGTAGGAATATTATCGATTCCCGCTGCTTTATATGATTTTAATTTTCCGATAGCTACTTCAACTTCCTCTTTACTTGGTCCTTCTATTAACGGTTCAGCACTCTGGTACTCAGAAGGAGGACACAGATCATAATTTCCCGTATTTAAAATATTTCCCGTATTTAAAATATTAGATAAATTAAAAAAAAATCGCATATATACTTATATACTCTACAATCAAGCTAGTGAACTCCGAGACATGCTTGCCCCTCCAACTAAAAAAAAAAAGCAGAACTCGAGGAAATTCCTGCGCTACTCTCTCAACCGCGTCACAGGAGCTAAAGCCAATGGGAATTAATCGAGAGCGCTTTAGTCGCATATATCTGTGTTTTATATCATGACTTGTTTTATCATTAACTGAATTAGTTTAAAAATTAATATTTTTGTATTATTTTTTTATGTACTTCCTTTTCTTAAAAAAAGAACTAATGGATATTACCAAAAAGTTTTTTATATTTCTTAATTTTCAAAAAATTCTTAAGTGACAATAGCCTTAGGGAATTAGTCATGTTTAGGGCTGTGACCACCACCATTTTTAGCCCTGTGGAATTTTGCACATCCTACTTTAAGCATACTGTTGAAAAATTCAGCAGCTTTACTTAGCATATCGCGTAAAAATCTTCTAATATTTTCCAGTTCCATAATTGTGTTATTAAGATATTTATTTATGTTTTTGTAAAAATTGAATGGTAAATAATAACTTTTAATCAAAAGCATCGTGGCGTAAACTTGTGTAATCATTGATAGTCGTATCAGTCATTTATTCTTTTTCATGACTTAAAATTAGCCCTTTTTTACACTATATCATTCTGATATTTGTTTTTTATTAGCTTTATGATTTTTTATATTTATTTTTTGGACGTAACTTATAATATTAACTTAAGCTTTATTAGTACATACTCTTTATACTGACAGAAAAATTAACTTAGAAACTTAATTTTCAAATATCACTGCTATCCGGTTTGAAGTGGTTATATATTTTCCTTCAAGTCCATAACTCTTACATAGAAAAAAGTGACTAATTTTCTTTTTAACTCTAATGTTTGGTTGATGAGTTTAAAAAAATACGGTAATAAATATCCAATATTTATTTATTTTTAACTTGAAACTCGAAACTAACGCACTAATATATGAAATATTGATTAAACAGTTTAAATACTTTTAATTTTTATAACATTCTTCTAAAGACATGCTTCAAGTACTAGTAAAAAGATTCAATTTCGTATTGAATTGTTTTCTATAATTTGTTAAACCTTGCTTCGGTAGTAATTATTTTATCTTTCAATTTAATTTTTATTAGAATGTGAAAAACTTCTTTTCTCTCAAAAAAATTAAAACATTTACGTTTTAGGATATCTTGTGAAGTATTTTTACATTAACTAGAAATTATAAAAACATTAGTTAACTAGGCAAATAACTCACTATTATAAGTTTAACTTATTTTATTTATGATTCATTTATAAGGTCAGAATAAATATATAAATTATTTATAAATGTTTAAAAAAAGTAAAGTTTAAACTTTTATATGGTTAATATTTGATAAATATTCAAAATGTTGGATCAGTGATCACTACGTTGTAACTATTGTAGTAAAAATGTTACACGAGAAAAAATTAATGTTAAAATGAAATGAAAAATGTTTGGAATTATAAAGGCTTGCTTGGGTTTTCTAATAAGCATGTACCGAATTATCGTTGGATTCTTTGTAGCTGCCGGAAAATGCACAAAGTTCCAGACTCTTCATTTCGGAATTAAATTTGGCCGAAGTAGTTAGCATGCAAAGAGAGTAGAGATGTAAAGAACCATCGTTGAGGAGTGTGTTATGTGGCCGTTAGATAATCAGTTTGCTCTGGACTCCTACCCTCATACATATAAATAGGCCACGCAGCGTGGTCACTCTTCAGTCATCGCCAACTCCTGCGCAATGAGCATCCTCTACGTCTTCTATGGGCTCGTGTCCACCGCCCTGGCCGAGCATGCCACTCAGAGCAAGCTCTACCACGTCCGCACTGACGTCATCACCAAGCACGAGCCCGTGCCGTACCCTGTGGAGGTCATCAAGCACGTGCCTTACCCTGTCAAAGTACACGTAGATCGTCCGGTGCCTTATCATGTCGACAAACCGTACCCAGTCAAAGTGGAGAAGGAAGTGCATGTACCCGTACATGTACAAGTACCTCAGCCATACCCCGTCTACAAGGAAGTCCAAGTACCCGTCAAGATACCAGTCGACAATCCGGTACCATACCACGTATCCAAACCTGTGCCAGTCCTAGTTCAAAAAGAAGTGCCTTACCCAGTCGAGAAGGAAGTTCCGGTTCCAGTAAAACAGTACGTCGAAGTTCCGAAGCCGTATCATGTTCATGTCACAGTGGAAAGGAAGGTTCCTTATCTTGTCGAGAAGAAAGTACCCGTTCCAGTTGAAGTATCAGTGGACAAACCGTATCCAGTCGAGGTACCGAAGCCATACCCAGTGACAGTTGAGAAAAAGGTACCTTATATTATTGAGAAGAAGGTTCCTTACGCTGTACCTGAGTACTTCCATGGAGCTAGTCGAGAGCTGTTCCAGTCTGGACACAACCCCTGGCTCGGAAACCAACTGGAGGCCCGGAGGGAGATCCCTATTTACGAACCCCAGGAAGAGGACGTCTCCCAGGGGCACTGACCCAACGGTGAGCAGTCAGCAGTCAGCTAGGCAAATAGTCTCCTAGGGTTGTATTGTTAGCTAGGTCTGGTCATCCTAGTCAAGTTACAAAGTAGCTTTGGCTATTTTAAAAATACTTCGTTATTAGATCATGTCAAAATAGCTCAGAGTTCTAATAATCTTGTAATTATTTTGGTTATAATAAAATAAACTGTTAAAGTCTTGATAGGAGCTTATTATATCAAGTTAAATATTTGTAGAACTTAATTAATTTTACAATTCATCCAATATGCCTTTAGTCAAATTTTGAAAAATGCGTTGTCATTAGAAATAAATTTCCATATCAAAACAAAAAAAAACATTTTTTTGAAAATCGACGATGTTATTATTTTTCCATCATTTAATTTTAAAAAAAGTTTACTTTTGCATTAAATTTACTTCTTTCAGAATATAAACCAGACGGTTGTAATCCCATATTTGCCATATTCTCTGGTATATCATAAACAAATAAATAAATCTCTCCGGTACATGTTTCATGTTCCATATTTCACAAAAAATAAATAAATAAAAAGAAATCATTAGGTATATTAAAGATGATGATTTATTATAAGATTATTACTTTTTAATTCAAAATCTTTCCCATCATATTTTTTTCAGATATTTCTATTTTGTTATTGCATCTATACAAAATTATTATACAATATTGAGAAAGGATTCTAAGGTCTTTCTCGGGCAGGTTAAAAATATTATACTAATTAAACTATTGTTACTTAAACACGACGGCTGGGAAATCTAATAATGTTTTAATTTATAGTTACTTGTCTGTGATCAGGGTCCTTGTTATGTTGTTATATTATTAATATTATCCTTATGATGTTGTATTTTTTTTGTAAATATATGTGTAAATAGGTGTGATATGTGTTTGTATATTTGGAAATAAAAACGTTTTAAGAATTGATTATGTTAGTTTTGATTTGATTACCTATATTCTTCTATTGGAATAATAAAAGAAAAAGACTTTTCTCGTAGAATAAACCAGGTGGTTATAACTTTATGCTAACCAAGTTTTCTACCAAGAGCACATTCGTGTCTTGTCGGCGCTTCACGGGTTAGTAGTTAAAAAAAAAATTGTATTTACTTTTAATCATGGCATCAGTCATAGAAAACAAATAAATATTGTTTTACTTGAAATTTTTTGTCTTTTTTTATCATTTAAATTTTCGACGATAAGCATCGTTATCCAATGAGAAAAGGAACATAGAATGAAATCCGAGGATGTATTTCAGTTTATCTCAACGAAAAAATAAATATTTTGTTTTAAATTTATTTATTTATTGAATATTAAAACAATCTGTCATTTGTACATTAGTTATAGTGAGGTAGGATAACATCCACACTATATGTACAAAAAATATAAAATAAATAGAAGAAAATAACAATAAATAATAATGAAAAAGTATATACAATAAATGAAATAAAATAACCTAAAAATAAGAAGATTAAAACCAAGCAAAGACACATGCATTTATAAAAATAAAAACATTTATTTTCACCTAAAATTTCATTTATCAAAAATAAAGAAAAAATATATGGCCAATTAATATTGAGCACGCTACGAGGGATACACATACAGTTATTTAAAATTTACTGAAAAATAATTATTAGGTTAGTACTTTTTTAATTTTAAATATTTTTATTAAGGTATAATACGTTTATTTTTTATTTTATTTTTTTCCTACCCCCCAGGAATTTCTTGATTACAAAATGAAATATATATATATATATATATATAAATGTTATAAATACATAAATTTTCAATTTCCTTTTATTGCCCAAGGGCATTTTAAATAAGAGGGCTATCTATGCACGCTGTATGCGAACTGATATAATACGTTTACGACCCTTGAGGATAATTTATCCTTTTTGAATAAATTAAATATATCGAGAAAAAAGACTTTTACCGGAGAATAAACCAGGTGTTTATAACTCTATGCTTTTTGGAGTCTAGAGCTATGGTGTATTTTTTTTTTAACTCTTGTTGATAATGAGTAATTAATAACAATCCCAATAAGAACGATAGCTTAAAACAAAAGCAAAATATATATTATTGGACAGTACAATGCTACTCAATTAAGGCTTCCTAATTCCTTTTGACGAAATTACTATTCTAAGGAGCCTTTGCCGCTAATAAGGTGTATTCGCAGCAAAGTGAATGGGGGGGGGAGGATTTGGGAAACCAAGGGGAGGGGGATGTTCTTATTGAACAACTCGGACTGAACTGAATGGCACTAACGAAACGGCTTTGCATATGAACCGATGTCAGTTCTAATTCGGCTTGTCTTCCCTTCATCTATCTTTCCCTTTCCGCCCTAGTCTCCTATCCTATTTATAAATGTTTGATGTATACTTTAAAGTAGAGGAGGCTGTGACAGTCTTCATATAAGCGAAACTATAAGGAATTGCCGAAAGGATTATCAGGAAGAAAGGGAATTTGTGCCATTCTGAACTTATTTAACACTATTGATAACAAATCGCACGACATTAACGCTAATAGAGGCCTTGATTATTTATTTTTTTTTTACAATAATAATTTCTTTATTGAAAAACTTTACAAATGCCTTTGGCATATATTGATTACTTTTAACGGACAAAACAAATTATTTTTATTTTATTTTTAAAAATAATTGTTGTTATTTATGTAAAAATAGAGTAATGAATGTTTTTTTCTTTTTATAATGTTAATTATTTTTTTATTATTTTCCAGATCCTCAGTTTCATTTATGTTTCTTCTATTTGCTGTTTTACGTTCCTTGTACTGTATCTGAGATACATTATAAGGTCTTTCGTAGTGATTCCCCAGTTCTGTTAATCTTTATTTTCTTATTTCCAATCTGGGTGTTTGGGAGCAATTACACGTAGATAATTTTATATTGTCAAGGCAACTGGTTTTTTAGGAAGAAGTGCGTCGGGTACGGTTGTGACACAAATAAATTTTGTTTTCTTTTAGATACTCAGCTAAAATCTCGAGGAAGACTGAAAAATGGTTATTATTCAAAAGTTTATATTTTATTATTTATATATAATTATGATAAACAATGTTCATTAGGTTATTCATATTTTATGTGAGATTTTTTTAATAATTATTTAATTTAATTTATATTTGATTATTGTTTATTAAACCCTATATATATATATATATATATATATATATATATATATATATATATATATATAATATAATATATATATATATCTATATATATATATATATATATATATATATATATATATATATTTAAACTTAACTATTTATTGGGATTAAAGTCATTTAATTATTATTTAATAAACTATTGAATGTTCATTTCTTTTGTTTATTGACGTTTCGATCCCGGTATTTTCTTTTTGTTAGTCAACCATGGGGTCCTCTTCAAAGCTAGAATTTAAAAAAAATAGTTTATAGAGCTTCGATCAGGCCAGGGACACACCGACAGTCTCAGCACCGTCCACTAGCACATATATTAAGCTACTGTTATATACAGTTGTTACTCTGTTATATAAGCTACAGTAGCTTAATATATGTGCTAGTGGACGGTGCTGAGACTGTCGGTGTGTCCCTGGCCTGATCGAAGCTCTATTTTTTAAAATTCTAGCTTTGAAGAGGATCCCATGGTTGACTAATAAAAAGAAAATACCGGGATCGAAACGTCAATAAACAGAAGAAATGAACATTCAATAGTTTATTAAATAATAATTAAATTACCTTATTCCCAATAAATAGTTAAGTTTAAATTTAATACTCAAAGGTCGATTAAGGAAAAGTTGTAAATATATATATATATTAAAGTTAAAAGTTATTGTCAATATAGAAGCTGAGACTTTGTTTAAAATGTTTATTTTACAAGTTTACAAGTAAATAAAACATAAAAAGTTTTAATAACAATATCAGAAACAAGAGTGGCGTGGAGACGGGCTCTGGATGGGCCGAGAACAAATCACAATCTTTTCAGAAGGATATGTAAGAAAGAGGAGTGTACTCTACTTTGCAAGTCTAAGACCAATGCCGCCTAACTGTTTCAATACCAAGACCAGAACTGCTAAAAAAATTCGATTTTTTAAATAAAAATTATGGCAAAATAGTTACTAATACTTGTCCATCCTAGTTACTATATGTTAATAACTGGTATAACCAATATACTTTTGGATTTATCTCCTCCAATTTTTCATTCGGGCTTACTTAGGTTTCTCCTATCTAAAAAAAATACAGTAATATCTCTACAGTAATAAGCTAATAAATAACTGCAAGACTGTTTACGAGAATCTTGCGCAAGACCAAGACCATGGCCAAGAGTGAGTTTGCAAGACCAATACTCGTCTCGGTCTCGCATTTAGGCAACACTAGTTAACAGTTCCCACGCCTGGCTTGTGTTCCCATGAGTTGTTTCTTTGAATTAATATTACAACCGTGATAAAGTCTTATACTTTTATATAGAATAAGGGAAAATATAACACATAAGTTATATAAATTGTTTAGTAATAATGTTTTTATAATGTTGACTAATGTTTTGTTTTTATAAAAGAAAAAAAAATTGAAGATGGCTTTTGGGGCCGAAACATTTAAAAATAATAATTTCTTAAATATTATAATAATGTTTTGTAATTTTAAGAAAGGACTGTGAGTTTAAAAATTGAGATTTTTTTAAATAAAAAGAAAAGAAAAATGTTTTAGGGCATAACTTGCTTAGTATATGTTCCACCGTAAAACTTATATACAAACTTTTGAAAGTTAATTAAATTTCCAACAAAACAAAAAAAAAAAAAAAATGATCCGAATCAAATCAGTATTAGCGATGATATATATTTTAAATATATATTTTTAGCGTATTATATATTATACACATGTTTGAGTTTATTACTTTCTTACCTATACTAGAAACGTACTATGGCAGAAAGTAATTTAAAATTCGTAGGATACTACGGCAAAGTGATTTTTATAAGCAATATTAGAGGTATTGATTTTTTTA